CTCTCATTAGAAGGTGGGCATGGGTAGCTAATCCGCTCTTTCTCCTTTTGTTCTTCGCTCTCCTCCTCATATTTTTCATCCAATGAGCTCACAGTTTCATCAATTTCTTCTTCCATAGACTCCTGTAAAATATTAGTCTCTTCTTGGACAGCGGGGTAGTCCTCAATATATGGTTCAACATAGGCATTAGAAGCATAATTATCATAGCAATATTTAAGTATGTCAAAATTTTCAGATTTGTAAAGAGTAGCATCATACGTTTCAATCAAAGAAGCAATTTCATAAGCACCCTTAAAAGCAAAAAATTCTTCAATTTGTTGAACATCATAGTAACTATAAACACCCTTAACATATGAAGATACGATTTCATTATCACTAAACTCACATTGATAGGGAAGGTGTTTCTTAGGGTTTTCAGAACAACAAGTAATATCATATATTTCGCATAAATTTCAAGCATAGCATTGCAAACGATGAATTTGACCCAGTAAAATTTTCCCCTTTTCAGATATTCGGTGTCGCACATAACAAGCATGCTCATCTAAAGATTTGCCCTCAACTAAGCTAGTTGGGGTTTTAGCACGAGCACATAGGGATTGAAGATGATCCAAGTAATAAGCTTCAGCAGTGTGATAGATTTTTGAGTGGTTCTTCAACCATTGGTTTAGTAGGTACAACTATTTTTTGGTATTTTGCGTTTCCTACCCATAACTAAAGATAGAAAACAACTAAGAATAGCAAATAAAAATTACTTAGTGATAAAGCAAACAAGCACACACGAGAATATTCACCCCACGCTATTGCTCCCCAGCAACGGCGCCAGAAAAAGATCTTGATAACCCACAAGTATAGGGGATCAATTGTAGCCTCTTTTGATAAGTAAGAGTGTCGAACCCAACGAGGAGCTAAAGGTAGAACAAATATTCCCTCAAGTTCTATCGACCACCGATACAATTCTACGCACACTTGACGTTCGCTTTACCTAGAACAAGTATGAAACTAGAAGTACTTTGTAGGTGTTGTTGGATACGTTTGCAAGATAATAAAGAGCGCGTAAATAAAAAGTAGGGGCTATTTAGATGAAGGAATAACTAAGTTAGTTTTAGTAAAGTGGTTTTTGTTACGAGAAAGTTATTTGTCCCTAGGCAATCGATAACTAGACCGGTAATCACTATTGCAATTTAATTTGAGGGAGAGGCATAAGCTAACATACTTTCTCTACTTGGATCATATGCACTTATGATTGGAACTCTAGCAAGCATCCGCAACTACTAAAGATCATTAAGGTAAAACCCAACCATAGCATTAAAGCATCAAGTCCTCTTTCTCCCATATGCAACAACCCCCTTACTCGGGTTTGTGTTTCAGTCACTCACGCAACCCACTCTAAGCGAATCATGAACGTATTGCAACACCCTACAGCGGGGATCCCTCATGCTTGCGCAACACGGAGAGCACCATAGGACAGCACCAATAATAAAACATGCAACTCAAACCAATCTTGATCATCAAATAGCCCATCGGACAAAACGGATCTACTCAAACATCATAGGATAGCCATACATCATTGGGAAATAATATATAGCGTTGAGCACCATGTTTAAGTAGAGATTACTGCGGGTAAGAGAGGGGTTACACCGCTGCATAGAGGGGGAAGAGTTGGTGATGATGGCGGTGAAGTTGTTGGTGAAGATTGCGATGATGATGGTGGCCCCCGGTGGCACTCCGGTGCCACCGGAAGCGAGGGGGAGAGAGCCCCCCTCCTTCTTCTTCTTCCTTGACCTCCTCCCTAGATGGGAGAAGGGTTTCCCTCAGGTCCATGGCCTCCATGGCGTGGGAGGGGCGAGAGACCCTCCGAGATTGGATCTGTCTCTTTGTCTCTATCTGTTTCTGCGTTCTCAGATTCTACCCTTTCACCGTTTTTTATATTCCCGGAGATCCGTAACTCTGATTGGGCTGAAATTTTGACACGATCTCTATCCAGAAATTAGCTTTCTTGGGCGAAAGAAGGGCTGCAACCGCCTTACGGGGTGGCCACGAGGGTCAGGGGCGCGCCCCCCGCCTCGTGGGGCCCTCGAGCATCGTCTCGCGTTGATTTTACTTCCCAAAAATCACATATATTCCAAAAAAAATCTCCATGCGTTCTTATCTCGTTTGGACTCCATTTGATATGGATTTTCTGCGAAACAAAAAACATGCAACAAACAGGAACTGGCACTGGGCACTGGATCAATATGTTAGTCCCAAAAATAGTATAAAAAGTTGCCAAAAGTATATGAAAGTTGTAGAATATTGGCATGGAACAATAAAAAATTATAGATACGACGGAGATGTATCAGAAATGCACAAGCTCATATATCATGGATGACATGGGAATACAAGATGCAACAAGGCAATCATAATGTGAGTCAATCCATGCATAAGATTCAAATTTGTCATGTGTATGATATGTCCATCGAGCATGACATGTGTGAGCACAATCAACAAATATGGAGGTGTTGGTGTACCAATGCTCGATGTCGTGGCATGAGTGGCAGTTCGAAGGTACATCCAATAAGTCCGAGCGCTCCTCAATGTGAAGGTCCATAGAGCCAATCTCCCATGTCGCTCCTCCGTTCGCGAGATGTATCATGTAGACAACAAGAAGGAGACAACAATGAAAGAGTGACCCATCCAATATGCATATTTGAGGATGGCTCAAAGGGAAAGAGTTCACCTTTAGGAGATTGTCGCAAATGTTGGTGTTGCACATCTTGTATGCCTTCACATGACCAAATTGTGTCATGGCGGTATCGCCTTGTGAATCCTTCAGCATGAAAGAACATGACAAACACTCGAAAACATAAATGAGGTTAGCGGAGATGCAAAACCTATCATTCGTGTGGTAAAATACCCAACAAGTGTATGCATCATGCTCATCATAAAAAAGGACAAGGGAGCATTTCATAGTATGGCGGCATATGATGCGAGAACAAGCAAATACAATAGGCTCAAGTAAACAAGCATGCATCACAAGTAATATGTCCAAGTCTCCGAGATCAATAAGCATAGATGCAACAATTGGAGGCAAGCGACAATGAACAAGATGTATCATGTGAGAGGCATGAACATATATGTCATCAACCCAAGAAAGCAAGTAAGAGTGTAACATGGGTGATGCGACAAAGCAAGCAATCATATGAATCAAGGCAAGCAAGCTAGTAGTGCAAAGATGCAACGTACTAGAAGGAATCATGTCAAGTATGTCATGTGTGTAAATAGTGGTCATGAATAATGCACAAGACATATCACAAGCATGAAAGGAGGATATGAGCAAAATAGCATCAATAGCATGAGGCACATGATAAACATGGCAATAGCAACAAGAATCTCCACCAAGCATGCAAATACACATAGGAGTAGTAAAATGGTGAATCATGGGTATATGCAAGCTAGGGTCACAATTGCATGGCGAAGGCATAGAAACAAGTATAGCATGCAAAGTGAACACGGTAAAATGAGCATGAAGCGACAAGCGGTATATAGCCCATAGCCGTGTGAGAGCCAAGTGAAAGAGATGCGCGTAGTCGTTGCGCGAAGAGAGCGGTGGGAAGGATAGTTCACGGGATCCCAAGTTAGCTTTGCTCTCAAGAGCTTGTTTCGTCAACTCATGGGATTGTGAGATTTACGAGTGTTCATAAATACCTACACAAAACAAAGGCAAAGGAAAAATTGTGTGTGCGTGGTATATGTACACATCATCCATCATGATGCACACGTGCTTGTGTTGGTTAGCACAAAATATTCAATGCTCAAATAAATGAGATGCATGATATAAAAACATGGCATCCATCATGATAGGTTTGTTGTTATGTATAGCATAATGGAGACTCAAATTGTGTAATGCATCACACAAAATATGTAGAGCATTGTTATTCATGGAATGCATATGGTGCAAGCAATTATGAGAACCATGCAAAGTATGGAATGCATCAAAATCTCCGAATATGTATGAGGAAACTATGAGGGTCTCCTCATGAGAATTAATGGAAACATCACATGGAGAATATTGACAACATCCAAAACAATGCATAGTTGGAACATGGTGATCATGGCATGGCATAGTAGATGAATTGCGAAAATCATGTAAAGGAAGCATGGCAATATCATCACATGAAAAACAAAAGCCAATGACCATCATCTCGTCATCTATGCCATAAGTGCAAAATCGGATTTATGTGAATGGGGCATGCATAGTCACTATGTTGAGATTGAAATGATGCGATATGGGATATCTCACTCATAGCATATGACAAGGTTAATGGATTGTCAAACATGATGTGACCAAAAGAATTTTCACATGATACCCTATGGAGCATAGCATCACAACTAGGCAAATCAACATGCTCATTATCATATGCATCATAAATAGGTAAGTCATGACATGAAGAAGTGGCACTAGCATGAATCATGGGAATAGGTGTGCCAACATCATGCAAGCAATCATTCGCAAAATAGTCCACTAGTGGGACAAGAGAAGCACCATCACCTATGTTACCTTTGAAGCATCGCTCATGTGTTGTAGGTGACACTACTAGAAAAATGTTTATACATAGAAGTTTACCAGTAGCGTTTGTTTGTGTCCCCACGCTACTGGTAATTACCAGTAGCGCTGGGTACAAAGTGCGCTACTGGTATGGCATAGCAGCAGCGTTGGTTTCTTGTGGGCACGCTACTGCTAAGTGTGCCACACCACACCACCAAATTAAAAAATATTAATAGCGCGGGTAGTAAATCTTATGCTACTACTAATTGAATAGCTATAGCGCAGGCGATCCACCCACGCTACTACTCAGCGTGTCCACTGCCTCCACATGCCAAGCGACAAGATCAAAAAAAAACTCTTCTCACACAAATCTCACCCCCACCGTACCCCTGGCTCTCGGTCGACCTCCTCTCCCCGACGATCTCGTCGCCGCCGCCACCACCCACGCCGGCCGGTTCCGGCAATCTCCAGCTGCATGCAACATGCCCCTAAGTTCCGCCCCGCCCTCCCCTTCGTCCAGATCCATGCCTCAAGGTCTGCACCCTTGCCCGCGGCTAGGGATTCGGGCGCCCCCCTGTTCTTGCCGCCGAGTGCCCGGGTCGGCCCGCTGGCCAATGAGCAGCACCCCGCACCTGCGCGTGCCCAGGCAGACGAGCAGTACGGGGATTGGCCGCGGATGGAGACGAGTGCTGGCGCGGCAGCAGGAGAAGCTGTGGCGGCGGCGGATCTGGTGACTGCCGGGTCGGCTCGTCGTTCGTGGCCGGCCGGAGTCGCGGTGAGGCGCTGTCTTCCATAGATTCCGGTGGCTGGCTGACGGCCAATTGCTCTTGGACGCCGCTGGAGCTGCTCGTTTTTGAATTTTCAGTAATGCGGCTAGCTATGCCAGGTGCATTTTCTTAATTTTCGTAAGTGCAACAGCCAAGTTCAGTTTTAGTTAAGTGTAGTACTAGTGTAGGCTTTGGGATATCAGTTATAGTTCAGTAGTACTAGTGTATGACAAACAAATTAGATGTTAGTAGATAGATGCACAATTAGTTCAGTAATGTCAAGTTCAGTTTTCGTTCATTGTAGTGCTGCTCAACTTGAGTGTAGTTCGGGTATAAAATTTTCTATTCACGCCTATGTTGCAGCAGTCCGCGCGATTGTGATTCTCGTGTCGCTGATAGCTTGGAGCAGTTGGTTCTGGTCCATCTACTACTCGTGACTGGGAAGGAAGGATCATGTCGTTGATAGTTCAGGTATAAAATTGTATCTTCTCATATAGCATTATTTCTAACGGCAAGTGTATTTTGGTCTACAATATATCAATCCACATAAAGGATGTTATGCGATTCAGGTTCCTAGTAAGGCCTTACTTCAAAAAAAAAATACCAACTACAATGCTGCAGTCCTACAGTTTTATCCATCAAACTTAGTTTCTATGGTTACTATTTTTATTATTTCAACAACTGGTAGTGAAGTTAAGGCGAGCATTGGAACATTTTGATAGCTTAGTCTTTTTGGATGGTCCTCTATCTGTATAGCATTACAAGCAACAACCACTGAGCCATGAGAGTCTTTCTAGATGGTACTCTATCTACATACTCTTACAAGAAACAACCAACAAGTTATGGTATATAATTCCATTCTCAAAATAACTATCTTTGCTGCTTCTGAATATTTAGCATTCAAAATGACTTTACGAATATGTAAGATTATCCAGGAATTCTGCTGTCAGGACATTGGATTTTGTATGTGATTGAGCTGATGCATTTTCTCCAAAATCTGAAATAGTTAATGATAGACATCCTTGCCAGATGTTATCTAGTCTGTCTTACCATCATATAACACAAGTCCCCTCTTCTGCAGCTAAAAAGAAAAGCCACACGCGAAGAAAATAATGCGGCTGAGTCGAGTGACTGTATGATTGTCACCACTGGATTTACTGGCAATCCGCTACTCACCCCAGTGTCCGGAAAAGTTGTTAAGAATTATAAATCAAAGACTAAGAACAATAAAGCTAGGCCTCAGACACCTACGCCAAATGTTGATAAGTGAAAACTTCTTGAGTGCCATTTTCTCTGAAGTCCAAACTCTTTTTTGCCTATTTATTCAGGCTGCAAATGATTAAACATGCACATCCTTTCATGTACAGGCTCACCACTCAATCCAACAACTCCTGGTACTTGCCGCTATGACAGTTCGTTAGGTGATGACAATACTCTCCATCTATATGATTTTGTTTTAGGATGAGATGTTACAATTCAGCATTCTGGAAGAACTCGAATTTCTAGTTACTCTAGGCAGCTATGGTAAAGTAAATACTCTGCATTGGCTTGCTTTTGTTATTGGGATTAAGTCCCTTCTTATAGGAGAACTAACTTTCCCATCAAGGCAAAATTGCCTATAATTTTACTTTTTCACTCTTAATTTTTGCAACAGTATGATACTCTATGTAGTTCCTCAAGATATTGTTCTTTATTAGGAGGAATTAAGGGTTAAATTTACTGGAATAGTAATAAATGGGAAGTTGTCATGTCGACTATAATGGCCAGTGATATTTATAATGACCAAGTGTTGTTACTGCTGATGATTACTAGTAATACAACAAGAATACATCTGCAACCAAGGGTACAATGTTGGTAATAATCTACTATTGTTGATGCCTTCTTGCTTGCTTGCTTGCGAATGACCTGGGAATTACTCCTACTTGGTGCACAACCTTTGCTTGTTGCAATTTGCCTCAAAAGCTTGGATTTAGAATCTATAATAAGATTTGGTCATGCCTAGCATTGTATCATTCTTAAGTTGGGTTTTCCCCAATTTCTAGGATTGGTCTGTTAGGTACTGCTTATAATTCATATATACTATGCTGCTGCTATATGCTTTTGTTTCTGCTATTGTTACTTAGTGCTCTATAGGTTACTGTTATATTGTATTAATGCTCCAGGTTCTTTTGAGTTCTTAGTAGTGGTCTTGGTTTGTTGTTTAATTCCAGGATTTGTGAGTTCATAGAAGGGAACACATAGACATGAAGCTACGGCGGCGACGAAGACGATATCAACATGGGGCTGCGGCGACGATGATGACGATGACATCGACATCGACACAGGGCTACGGCGGCGACAAAGACGATGACATAGTCATGGTGCTGCGGCGACGACGACGACGACATCAAACGGCCTTGTGGAGGCACTGACGCCGACGACGTAGACGCGTGGCATATATTGTGTGTGTGCGCGCGCGCGTGCATGCGTGTGCACGTGTGCGTGTGTTAATTATCTACATCAAATATGTATGATTGATGATTGACTGTATGCATAACATGTACGTATTGTGAAATGCGTGTCTAAATTGAAATAGGTAGACTTTTATTTTTTTAAATCCTAATTTGTTACTACTAGCGTGGGTGTATCATAGAAGCGCTACTGCTATTCCTTTACTAGTAGCGTGGGTGTGAAATACTAGTAGCGTGGGGCACCAGCGCTACTGGTATGTCTATTTAGTAGTAGCGTGGAGTAACACACACGCTACTGCTAAAAAATAGCTGTAACGTCATAGCAGGTAGTCCAAAAACCCATGCTACTGGTAAGGTTTTTCCTAGTAGTGTGAGGTGTCGAAGGCTGAGTCGTGGTCACCTTCATCTTGATGGAACCATGTGAGGGTGCATCATCGTCCACCATGGCCATCGTTGTCTCCATTGGAAGCATGGACTCGTCGAGGATAGGCGTGTTGTCATGTAGGAGACCTAGCACCAAAGAAGAAAACATATTCGGAGTAGAGGTTAAGTCGTTAGAAATCATAGTGGCCTCACGTGTCGTGTCAACTACCTTACTCACTAAGTGTTGTGGCTCACTCACTCCCTCTCGGATGCTCTCACTCATATGGTTGGTGGAGTCACTCAAATGGCTCTCAACCTCACATAGGATGTGTGGCATGCTCTCAAGTGTGGGGCTAGTGGTGGTCACACTCATCCTCTCATAGGAAATGCTCTCAATGTCACGTATGGTGGAGTCACTCATATCACTCGCGGGGTGGTGGCTCTCCTCACATGGCAATTGGGGCATCTCGTCACATGTCGGTGTCGGAGAGATGTTGGTGCAAATGTCTCCATGCTCAATCATGTTGTAGTTGTAGCCGTGGATGAAGGCCGAAGATGACACATCATCACTCTCCTCTAAGACCAAAGATAAGGTCTCATGTGCGGTCTCGTAGCTTGACTCGGAGTATGAGTCCAATATGGGTGCCGTCTTCAAGTGGTTGAAGAGGTTCATGCTCGTCGCCGTGGTCGAAGGGGATTGTCGGAGTAATGGGCCACGGGTAGGCTAACCCAGGCCCAGAACATTTCAAGACATGGAGGCAGACTGCGCCCCTCGAGACCCCAGGACGAAGAGCCGCCTTCTGAGAGTCGGCGGCGAGGCGGCCGGCTGCCCACTTGCGGCCGAGTCCTAGGAACGACTTCAGGATGAGCCGACTCCTGACTGGCGACTTCCAGCGAAGCCGACCTTGGGGAGTCGGCCCGCGACGCCAACAACCCCCATGCCCTCATAAAAAGGGACGGGATGGGGAGTGGACACAGTAAGGTCCACTCTCACCCCTTTTTCCAAGGGCAGGCGTGGCTACAGTATGCCGTACCCGCGGAGATCTCCGCGCGGTGCGACATTGTTGCCATGCCGGCCCTGACATCAGCCCCAGGGGGCGGAGCCCTGTGCCCACGACGGCCTGCTGGTACGACCCAGGGATGATGGGTCCCACCAGTCGGCGGGCGTACGAAAGACGGCGAAAGCACCACCAGTCGGCCCGGATGGGAGTCGGCCACCAGAAGTCGGCCGGCCCCTCCCACGGGCCCCACGTGCCATTAATCAGACACGACAAGTAGTGGCCACAGTGATCGCCCGCCAGACAGCGGGGTTGTCGCCACGACCTCATGACCGAGCCTGCGTCATTAGAGGCACGACTACACTAATCTGCAGCTGGCAAGACCCGCCCGCGGCGGACGCGGCCTGTCGGCTCGACACCAAGCCAGTCGGCGGGGCCCACCAGTCGGCAGGCCCCAGGAGTCGGCGGATAAGACGGCGGCCAGAGAGACTGACGGCTGGGCCCGCGCCCAGCCGGATTACCATTGTACCCCTGGGGGGGTAGGCCTATATAAACCCCCAGGGCATCCATGCAAAGGGTTGGAATCCATTAGCACTAGACCAGATCATATAGGAAGGAGAGAGCCAGCCTTGCCTTCTCCTACCTCCAGGAAACAGCTCAAGGAGCAACCGTGTAAACACTTTGCCATAGTGATCATGCGGAGACCCCGTAGAGCAGCAGTAGGGGTATTATCTCCCCGGAGAGCCCTGAAGCTGGGTAAGATTCGCCAGCGTGTATGTCTTCGCTTTATCCCGTTTCCAGCCACCGGCGACGTTCTACTCGCCCCCACCATGATAAGCCATCCTTTGGCATATGTCGCACCCAACCCCCGACATTTGGCACCCACCGTGGGGCATGGTGCACCGTCGTCCAGAGACCTGCTCTGGACAGGAACCCTTTTTCTCCCTGGCGAGCGCAGCCAGCCCAGCAGGCCAGACGGAGTTTGTGCTGACGCGCTGCATGGCATTGAGATAGCCTGTGCAGCCAGCTGCCTCGCCGATCTTGTCGGCGAGGTTCGCCTCTCCGACGAACCTGCATCCAACACAGGCACGGGCGGCCCCGAGAGCCTCCTCGCGGGCCTCCTCGACCAACTCCACGTCGCCGGCGAGCCTGCCGTGGACTTGGAGTCTGTAGGCTCCACCGACCCGATGCTGACCGACTCCGACACCGCGTCGCTCAACGCGTTCCCCACTAACGTGGTGGTCTACGACGAGCCTCTCCCTCGCGCGGAGAGCGACGGAAGCACCGTCACCGAGGTGCTCGTCATCGGTCATGACGAGCCTCCTGGCGGAGGAGCACATGACCCACTTGGCGCAGCACTACAAGAACTGACTACGCCCATTCCGGAAGATGTTGACGCAGAGACGTTGGAGGCGCGCTGCCTTCAGCTCGTCGAAGGCGCGAAGAAGCTGGCTAGCATGAGACGCTTGTCAGAAGCCTACCAGCGTGAGATGGATCGCGCTGTGGGTGGCTCGCCAGCCCCAGCTGGGCCCAGCCGCCTTGGCGCGGTCCATCAGCGCGGCGTGGCCATCGCCAACCTGTTTGGGTCAAGTCGCCCTGTGTACGCCACGCCTGCGGAGAACATTCGAGTCACCCAGGCGGCGGCGGACGAGCTGGATAACTTTGAGGGCGAAGAGCGCCGCCTGATGATGGAGCGAGTCCAGCGGCTCCTCGACGCGGCTGCCGCGCAGAACGAGGCCGGCTGCCGCACGGAGGCGCCGCAACGGCAAAACGATGACCTTCGCCGAGATCAAGGCGCAACGTCTCGGACACCGACTGGCGGCGCCCGAGGAAGGAAAGACAAGGATTCGGCTGTCAGCCACAGTCGGACTCACATTACCATAGAGCGCGACCAAGACGGCCGCCCGAGAGCAGTGAAACGACGGGACGACTGTCCGCCTCCTCCTCCTTGCAAGGAAAGGCGAGTCTCCCCGCCGCCTATTGACCATACGACTCTCGGCGACCGCCTTGGCCACCGAGAGGGAGTCGGAGAAAATGACGCCCGCCACCAGATCGACTGACTTCACCGATCACTGGCGCTAGAAGAAGAAGACGAGTTGGGTCCGCCTTGTTTC